GGCCTCTTGGGTAAGTCAGCGTTAGTCAGGCAGAAAGGAAGTGAGCCAGAGGCGAGAGATACAAGACGGAGGAAAACAGCTTTCCACGGGGGAAAGGCCAGCAGCAGCAGCCTGGCTACCAACAGCAAGCAAAGCATTCGCCTTACCAGCACCCCTCTGCTAAGGGTAAAAAGTACTTTAAAGAGAACTCTTGCACCAAGATTGTGTTCCTTAGGCCTGAACACACCCATGCGCAGGTCCATTCCTGCCAGCGGGTGCCCGCGCCCTTCCTGAACCACAGTCCCTGAATCCAGGTGGGATTTTCTGCCTCACTGGTGCTCCTTCACATGCAGCAGCAGTCTCTGGGGTTGCTGCAAAAGCCTCTGGGGGCAGACTTCCTTCTGTGGGTTGATGCTGCCAAACACAAGCACAGCAACCTATCACCGCTTGGGGACCCGTGGGTGCCGCTGCCTGCCCCCCACACCATGTGGCTCTCATCCTGCCCCAGCACAGACCCTGCGGATGAGCCAGATGCCTCCCCAAGAGCAGCTTAGTTTCCACTTCTGCTTTGGTAAAGTGCCACAGAAAGCACCATCAGCAGACTGCAGCCAACACCGTCACTTCTGTAAACAGCCCTGGGGAGACCAATTCCTCCCCATCCAGTGCGGCAGGTATGTCTTGCGCTCAGGACAGCGGCGAGACAGGTCAGGGACCCACTGCTGGAGGACACTGGAGAGGGGACAGACCTGCACAGGTCAGCCAGACTAAAAGCTGTACATCCTGTAAGGTGAACAAATCTAGAGCGTCTCAAACAGCCCCTCCTGCTGTGGCCACCATCCTTCAGGAAGGGATGGACTGAATCCAGACAGAACTCCCGAGGCTGCGGAGAGCTCGTGTGCAGGACGGAAGGACATGCCTGCCAGCAGCATGGGCTGGGGAGTGCTGGGATGGAGAACGGGGGCAAGCCAGCCATGGGGATGTCCAGCAGGGAGCCGTCAGGGGTGCAATGGCCCCAGTGGGAGTGGGGCAAGGACCACAGAGAGAGGGGCTCTGCACAGCCATGCCCTCGGTGGGGATGGGTGTCCTGCTAGCACACGCTCCTGCACAGTGACACATGCCGGAGCTGAGGACAGACGGGATCACAGATGCCCCTGGGGACCCTGCTGTGGTTGCCGAGGGCTATAGCCGTTCTGGCATTTGGCAGGGCCGCTGCAGGCCGCGGCACGGCTGCCACAGGCTGGTCGGGTACATCAGCTCCTTACCGTTGGCAAGGGAAAGCCTGCGGGGGAACAGGCACCAGCGCACAGCACACAGGGTCCCCCCACGCCCTACCTTGTCCCGGCCGTATCTCCGGAGCAGCAAAAACCGGTGCGCGCCGATAGCTGGGCGGCAGCCGGTAGGGCCAGACATAGAGGATCTCATTTGTCCGTGAGTCCTTCAGGACGAGGCTGTCACGCTCAGCTTTGAGCACGTAGGCGCCGCGCAGCTCGCATCGCTCTGCGGCCTCGGTCCGTTGCACCGTCACCCAGAAGGCATTCACTGTGGGGACAGGGATGCTCAGGGGAGGGCGGAGGAAGCCACGTCCCCCG